TGGGCAAATGGCAATCCTGACATGGCCAACTAAAATATGAAGCCAATAGTACTGCAGAATCTGGCAGTATCTACGAGAATCTGCAACTGCAAAAGCATAATTTCCCATGACCTACCAATCTTTTCCTCCTCCTTCTCAAAGAGGCTCCCCCACAAAAATACTTGCTGACCAGGGTCTTAGGCACCACTGGCAAGAAAGTGTCATGGTAGGGTTCCAAGGACTGAGTTTCAGAAACCACTGCAATATACCACTTAGATCAGAGGTGAAAAACCGCAGCCCGAGGTGACAAATCCACACCCCCTTACCCTAGGCCCCATCCCCTTTCACTCAATCCACAATTTATGGTGATTTTCTGAATTTTGTGCAAGTCCACCCCCCACCCCCATTCTGAATAGCTGACATGCTTATCCTAAGGCTAAGTTACTGGCACTAAAAGTTTTAAGCTACAATATGCTGACTTTTTTTCCCCCTCCCCTCCCCTCCCCTCCCCTCCCTCCCTCCCTCCCTCTCTCTCTCTCTCTCTCTCTCTCTCTGTTTCTTTCTTTTGGTATTTTTGGCTCCACCCTTTGGCCCCATCACCTTTGTTTCCACCCACCACTAGAATGTGGCTTTTCCAAAATTGAATTTGGCCTCCATGCTAAAAGGGGTAGCTTATCCCACCTTGGCTAAGGCCATAAAATGTGGTATCTGCCATTTATTAAGTTGCAATTTTCAAAGGACACAAACATGTGTTAAGAAAAATTATTCTGTTTTTTCATTCTTTAAATTTTAATGTTTGAAGTAAACTGCAATAATACAAAACTGTGTAAATTCCAGTAATACATCTTCAGGTTACAATATATGAGACAGACTACTCTTAGTTGGGCTAGGAACGTGCTGTTCCAGATGCTGTGTAAATATAACACTAAATGACAATTCGTGTTCCCAAGAATTTAGCCTAAAATACCAGAAGCATTAAATTATCTATAACTGGAAAAGTGGCAGCATCTTTCTTTTCAGTATTTAGGTAATATAACTGTGTGTTTAAATCCTTTAACTCCTCTTCTTCATGGAGCCACTGTGTTGGAAACCCTTCTGGCTGCCAGTTGTATTGCCCAGCAACCTACTGTACCAGCAAAAACCACCTACATGTCCAGAATCAACATGCTACAGCTGCACTCAATCGAGTTGCAAAACAAGCTCAAGATGATGGAAAATGTGATATGCTGCACCACAGCTGAATGGCTGGGACAATGAACAAAGAATAATGGGCAATAGCTGTCCTTTGTGGAAAAAGGGAATGAAGAGCGACACATATTCTCTTAGACAACAGGCATAATGGAACCAGTGAAGATGTCTACTAAAATATATATTGTTCTAGTAGGATATTTGGGATGGACATAGATGAGAGAATTGGGAACATGCACTAGATTTCAAGTGAATCTAAAAGAGTTTGTGTGATCCAAACAGTCAAGCTATTAAAAGTGCAATCACAGGTATGCTTGACATTAGTAAGCTGCACTGAATGGGTCTTGTTCCCAACTAAGTGCAGATAAGCTTAACAGCCTTAAAAACAAAGCATATTGCAGGGGTGGCCAAACCAAGGCTTGGAAGCAGCATGCAGCTCTCTGAATTTATTTTGCAGCTTGTGGCTCACCACCCACAGATGCCCACTTGCCATTCGCTGCCCGCAGCGACAGCCCACAAGTGCTCACTTGCCACTTGCTTGCGGCTCTCGAACATCTGACATTTACCATATGTGGCTCTTCCATTGAGTAAGTCTGGCCACCCCTGGTATATTGCAACAACAAGGGAAACAGTTCAAACATAGTCAAAAATAGAAAAAAATATTCAACTCTTTATCCTGCCAGTAAGGCATTGGAAACTGCTAATTAGCATCATGCATGTCCCCTCTTTATTGTTTTGACATTGTTCTGGATTCTTTCTGTTGTAATAATGAACATAGTTTCCATGTAATCATATGACAAACAGCTTCAGAATCCTTCTGAAAAACTTCATTTATATTTCTGCCACATTACATTCCTGGCAACATATTAGCAAATTGTTCCTTCGCTTACTGGTATACTTTTCTTTTTAGAAAATGTTAATTTATGCTTCCAAAACAACTCACATGCCAAATCACCATACCAAATTTAGCATTTTGAATGTTAAGATAGTAAAAACAAAATTATGAAGACTTGCACAATATGAAAATGGTAACTATTAATCTAATTGTAGTAAACTTTAAAGGAATGTGGCATACTCAATTATAAAGTAAAAGCAGCTGGACAACATTATAGAATATAAATGCATTTGTAAATGCACTTTAAAAATAACATTGTACATTAGAAAAGCTTTTTTAAAAAATCCCTACACTTCCAAACCATAGTTCAGGCAATGAGCTGTGTTGCAATATAACTGCAATTACCACCAACTGAAAACTTCCTAAAGTTTCATAAATGAAAACAGAACAGAAGTGTTACTTAACTATTTGGAAACAAGCAATATTGTTCTAGAACAATGCACTAAACTACAAAATAAATTAGAAAGAACACAAACATGGTAAGAAGGTCTTTTTCTGCTGTTGATTAAAACTATAAATCACACATTTTATGTTTTTTCCAGAATATGAAGCCTTATTCAGGAAAAAAAAAACCAGACAAAACTGTATCCTTGAACTGAAAAAGGAATATATTTTTATGTCTTAAGACTGCTAATTAAAATTGGATTTAGATGCTAATCATCATATGAAACTCACTTGAGGTGATGGTACAATACACGGGTAGAGTATTTCTATGGAGCTCAGCAGAGCTGCTTTCAGGAAGACCCTCTCTACTTGTACAGGAGCATGGTGGATGTTTCTTCATTAGACTACCTTTTTGCTTCATTAGAAATTATCTATGCTTTGGCATGAATATAACTGGTACCAGGTTGAGAGAACTGGCAAGGCGGGGACACATGGAACCTGCATAGGCTTGGTGGGCCATGATGTTCTCCTCCTCATGCACACTTTTGCAGATCCATTTGTCTCTAATTATCACTGGTGAATTTAAGAACCAATGAGCCAGTTACTGGTTGTTAAAGGAACTATTTTAATAAGAAAATGACATGCAGAGTATTTCATCCTCCATGAATTTAGGCAAAATAGGTTAACATGTTAAATGTGTAGCAAATACATTTCTGCATACAGGAAGCCAAGCATTTCAAATGATTTCAACTGTCTAGCCTAATTGTAGCAGTTAAGCAGAGGGGGGGGGAGTTATTTTTAATACATTCCTTGTAAAGAAAGGATTCCAATGGAAACCAACTATGATGAGATCATATTCTTATATAGTGGTGGGAACTAAGACTTTGAAATGGGTGACTTGGCCAAGGTCACACCATTAGGCTTGGCCTACATATACAGCAAAATGAAGAGGCAGAATTTCTAAGATAGTAGAGTACACTGGGAGGATCTGTTTCAAATGCTTCCCCAGTGTTAAAAAAAATACTCCCGCACCAGTAAAAGAAAAAGAAAGAACCCTAGCACATGAAATATGGAGGAGAAATGTTCTTGCCCAATCTGCTCACTGCTATTGTCGTTATGTGTGATTTTTCCACCCCTGCCACCCACAGAGATGCACTCAAAAGTGCAACTGCCCACCTAACGACTTAAGTAGTTAGATACACTACTAGGTCACACAAAACAAACCATGTAATCAGAGTTACAAGGAGAGCAGATGCATACAGAATGGAATTGTAATGGAAAGTCATCATGGTTTCTCCACTCCCCCAGCCACCTGGGCACAATCCTGCCAGAATCTCTCTGGTTCCAGAATCCTGGACCAGCCATTGGATTCAGCACACAACAAACTCAAGCTTGGGGAACACAGAAACATAGAAACTGAGTGAGTCAGAAGGGGTCTCCTGGACCATCTAGTCTGACCCCCTAGCTCCAGCTGCCTCCACTCATGACAAGCCTATCATGTGCATATCTAGCCTATCCTTGAACACCCTCATTGATGGGGCCTCAACTACCTCCTGTGGAAGCCCATTACATGCCCTAGGAGTCCTAACTGTCAGAAAGTACTTCCTGGCATCCAAATTGAACCTTGATCCATGAGCTTTGCTCCACTGAAATGCACCCTGCCTTCCTCTTCAGGGAGAACAGATCTCTACCCACCTCCGTATGACACCCACTCACATACCTATACGTCACCAACAGATTCCCTCAGAGTCTCCTCTTCTTCAGGCTGAAAAGACCCACTTCCCTCAGTCTTGTCTCATACGGTTTTCACTGCAATAGAGTCAGTGACCCTGAGCTGCACTGACTCTAACCTGGCTATATCCTTCCTGTATGTGGAGCCCAGGACTGAACACAATACTCCAGTTGCAGGCACACCAGTCATATAGAGTGGTAGTAATACCTCTCTCAATCTAGAAGCCATGCTTCTGGTTATGCAACTAAAACAAGTTTATTAAAAGGATAAATTATAGGGATAGAGAGACTAAGACAAAGAATCTAAATGGATAAAACCAGGTGAAAGGGGGAAGAAAGGGGGAAAGGAAAATTGGACAGCAGCAAGATGGGTTACAGCCAACCAAGAAACCCGAACTTCCAGAGCCTTGTTGGCCCACTCAGACAGCAAAATGACAAACCACTTCTAGCCTAACCTGTACACATCAACTCATCCTGGCATAGGATGCGCAGGATGCCACAGCATTCTTCGGCAGGGATAACTGGCAATAGACAGAACCTCCCAAGAGAGGAACAAACAAAGTAGGGACAGGCAACTTGTGTTCTGCAGATGACTTGGCCTATAATTCCCATCATGCCTAATCAATGGTGAAGGATGGAGGAACTTATACGTCAAAATGTCTGGAGGGTTATAAGTTGTCCAGCCATGCTTCAAAAAGATCATTTTGATACAGAAGCTGACCAATTAATATACTATCCACTTTTAAAGCAACAAGAATGCATATCTGAAATTGGTCTGCTAAATGAAATACCCACACAGATCATTTAAAAGAATTTCACTTACCATTCTGCAACTGGCTTGGCAATGGCTTCAAAAATTTCATCTTGCTTTGACTCTTGATCAAAAACTTTTTGAAATCTGCACATTATAAACAATTGGTTATGCAAAATCTTTAAACACTACTTGACATTTCCTCTCCTTTTCTCTGTAACTTAGTCAATGTTTACATTACTAAACTTATAAAACCCAATACAATGTTTTCCCTGTAGTCTTTGCCACACTATGTTGTTGTACTACTGAATCCACAAAAGATTGTAAACACTGTTGCTTTGACAAAATCTGTACAATAAAATCTTGTGATAAATGATAGTGTTTAGAAAAGGCAAACTGTATTTTCTAATGTTTTTGGGATCAGCATTTCCAAATGGCCGCACAAAGCTCATATATACACAAACCTTGAACCAAGCAGAGCATATAAACAGTACAGATTATTTTCAGATTCTTCATTACAACAAAAAAGGAAGTTATTAAGGAACTGTTAGAGGAACAAATACTTCAGAAGAATTGTACCCTATTCACATTATCTAACTTAAATTTCTTAAGTTTTAACACTGCAAGTCATGGGTCCTCAAACTACAGCCTGGGGGCCGGATCCGGCCCGCCACGCCCATTTGGACCTGCCGCCCACCTCACCCCCTGTGGGGAGGCAGCGGCTGGCTCACACGGAGAAAATGATCTCCAAGCAAGCAAGCCGCTGCCTCATGGGCCCACCTCATGGCACGTGCCTGCCCCCGCCTGCACCTCGCCTTGTCGCACACCGCACACTCTGCCTCCACCCCCGCCCTGGCCCACTTGCCCCCCTGGCACCACCGTTCCGGCCCGCACCCAGCACCAGCAGAATTCAACTGGCCCCCTGGTGGAAAAGTTTGAGGGCTCCTGCTGTTAAGTGGTATTATATTCACAATAAGATGTGTTTCAAAGTGATTACAGCACCTTTTAGATAAGAAAAATACTGTTCTTTAGAGAAAATACGTTTAATCCCCTTACTCTAATAGAAATTAATTGAACTCCTTTGTTTTGTTCTACAGCAACTGTCCTCAAAACACTAGTGCTGTAGCTCTCAAGATAATTCATTGTAGTCCCCTGAAAAGTGGAACTTATTTGACTGCACTATGCACTAAGCAAACCTAAGCAAACAGTGTTTGGTGCTTAGCTACAAAACAATTAACAAAGGGTGACATCCAAAGAGGCTTAAGCATTCATTTACACAACAGGATTTTCCCTTCGCTTCATCCCTGCTGCATCCCTCCTTACTTCCCCAAACTTCTCCAGTGGTCTCTCAACTTCCTGAAAAGATTCGGTGGCAAAAGAGGTGCAGAGTAAGGGAGAATCCATTATGCTAGGAATCTTGGTTCCACTGGTGGATGGGCCCATTTGGATTAAAACCAAAAGCATTCCATATACACTAATTTGGGGGAATTTGGAGTGATTCCCCCTCCCAAAATACAGTTATAGGTACAATAATGTTGTCTAATGATCTCAGAGTTCACCAGCAGTGATAAAGAATTGGAAAAGAACAACAATTATGAGGGGTAATTTTAGACTAGAAGAAGATGGAGTTTTTAGTATTTAGAAAGCTTATAAATAAAAGAATACTACTGCAGCCTTAATAAACATTAAAATAGTTTATGAAATCCAAATTTGAAATCCCTGGAGGTTATATCTAGAAATTACATTCAACTCCAAATCTTAATGACAGCAAGCTATTAAATAGTATTCAGGAATGAGACAAAATCAGGAATGAGAGCCAGTGTGGTGTAGTGGTTAAGAGCATGGAACTGGGACTCAGACGATCAGGGTTCTAGTCCCCGCTCAGCCATGGAGCCAACTGGGTGACTTTGGGCCAGTCACAGACTCTCAGCCCAACCTACCTCACAGGGTTGTTGTGGGGATAAGATGGAGGAGGAGAATGATGTAAGCTGCCTTCAGCCCTTTGTAGGAAAAAGGCAGGATAGAAATCGAAAAATAAATAAATAAATAAATAAAAATGAGGATAATCTATCTAATATATTACTACCAATGCTGCCTATGACTACCTTTGGAAGAACTGTTGTCCAGTAGATAGCAGCAAAAAGGCTGCAGACTATGAGTAAAGGAGGAAGAACTAGGTTCATTTAACCTAAAGATTATTCGAAGGTTGCATGGCAACCATCTTCAATTGTATGAAAAGGCTATAATATATTGATGGTAGCGAAAGCTTGTTTTAGAACCTGAAGTTCAAATTACAAGCCAGGAAATCTTGAATCAAGACTAAGAATAATATCCTCATAGTATAAATTGTTGAACAGTGGGCCCACGAGCCTCAGAAGGTGATGAGCTCACTTCCATTCAAAGTTATTAACAGAAGCTAACTCTATTAGAGATGCACAAACAGAAGAGTTCCTTCACTGGCAGAAGGTTGCATCTTCCAATGCCATGATTCTGTTTTATAATTCTATTACTTTAATCATTCAGAAATATAAATAAAATCATACAGACTATTACAGAGATTTTTCTACTTGAAAGTGGAAAGAAAGTTGACCTAATTTATCTTATTTCTTTCTTGCACAACGGGGTGAGTTCCTGTTGCTCCGTCCCAGCTCCTGTCAGCCTTGCAGTTCGAAAGCATGCAAATGCAAGTAGATAAAAAGGCATCACTTCGGTGGGAAGGTAACAGCACTTTGGTGTTTAGTCATGCTGGTCACATGACCACGGAGACTGTCTGTGGACAAACGCTGTCTTCCTCGGCTAGGAAACGGAGATGAGCACCATCCCCCAGAGACAGACATGACTGGACTTTAATGTCAAGGGGAAACATTTACCTTTACCTTTTAATCAAGGTAGCAAAGGAACTAAAGAGGCACTGAAAGACAGGGAAGGGAAGAATACAATTTTAAAAGCTCATATATTTATGTGGGAACTGTAGAGTTGCAGCAACCTCTCAAACACCCACCCTAGAACATCCTCCGTAATATCCACCCCTTTTACAGCAAGGTATCAGTGAAAAGTATGTACAATGGTACCTTGGCTCATGAACTTAATCCATTCCATGACTCTGGTTGTGACCCAAATTGGTTGTGAGCCAAGTCAAATTTCCCCATAAGGTTCAATGTAAATAAGGTTAAACTGTTCTGTAAATATATTTTTTAATCACAGGGAAGACAGGTACCATCGTGAGCGTGCTCCGGGGGTCGGGGAGACGGGCGCGATCGCAGATGCACTCGGGGGAGATGGGTGTGACCGTGGGCATGCTCGGGGAGGGAGATGGGCATGATTGCGGGTGCACTCATGTAGGGAAGACGGGTGTGATCATGGCCATCTTCCCCGCCCATGCGCCCGTGACTGTGCCCATCTCCCCGCCCAAGTGCGCCCATGATCATGCCTGTCTCCCCTCCCCCAAGCACACCTGCGATTGTCACTCAATGTGACCTGAGGAAAATTTTTTCCTAAATTTCTGTTCTGAGGTGTTCATGAGCCAGTGTACCACTGTATGTTCATATACACAATCCAGATTAACTTACTTGAACTTGTAGCTTTCTCGTTTATTATTGACAAATCCATCTGCCAAATCACGTGGCACAATAATCTCCAAACTGAATGCTGATGTCTCATCTTCACCAATTGAATATATCTACAAAATATGTAAGTAGTCTGAAAATATTGACATTGATTAAACCATTCCATTTCTTAACGTCACAGCATCTTTATTTGTGCCTAAAAAGCAGGGTCTAAGAAAAGTAGAACCTAAAACTCCCTGGAGAAGATAATCGTGCTTGGGAAATTAGAAAATGGATGAAGGAAAGGAAGACCAAATATAAGACAGATTAACTCCATAAAGGAAGCCCCAGCCTTGAATTTACAAGGAGCTGAACAAGGTTGTTATGGGTAAGGCATTCTGGAGAGCCTTCATACATAGGGTTGTCATAAGTCAGAAACAACTTAATGGCACAGAACAACAAGAACAACTTCCACTGGAACTATTTTATTGATAAGAATACAACTGCAGATAATTCCCCTAACAAAATTTCAATATCAAGAACAGTTTATATATGTTCAGTCTGCAAGTAATATAGAAATATTCTACAGAGAAGAAAATCTCTTTGTAAGAAAAACCATGTATGCCATTACTTAGAATTTATAGAGGAACAAACCATACTGAGAAACCATTTTACCTATATGCTAGACGTAACGTCAGAATCACCCTTCTAATCCAACTCTACACAGGTCAATTCATATCTGTCCCTAAGTGCAATGGTACTAACTTCAAATAAGCATGAACAAGAATCCAGCCTTAATGGATCCACTTAGCCAGCAAAACATAAGGTAATACGAGAAAGGAGGAGCATCCTAGGTGGATTGCTAAGTGTGCATGCCACTGCAGCAGTTTGGGGGATGAGTGGGCTTCCAGGTAGGCACAAGTGATTATCTTTTTTCAGGCAGAATTTCTGTATGTTGAAAAGCTGCATGCTGGCTGATGTTTCCCATTTACCATGTGGACAGGGATGCAACTGTTAAAAAGTAACTACAACAAGGGTAATTTTGTTGCAACAGACAACACTGTTGGCTGCTGAAGCAAAAAACTAAGTTGCACGAGACTCTTTGATATAACTTCATTGGCTTGCTATTCCTAATCATTTTTAAATGGCTATGATGACTTTACCTTAGTTTCAAAACTAATTTGGAAGAATCATTATCGTATTACATCCGCATCTCCAATGTCACTCTCGTAATGCTAATTCAGATGTGCCCACCCGTCCAACAATCCCTTCTCAAGATGGTTAATCAATGAGAATGGGCTGTGTTATCCCCTTCAGTTACTGGCGCGGGAGGGGCGACCTAGAAAAGAGTCCTGTGAGGAGCGATTCAAACGACTAGCATGTTGTGACCATTCCGCTCATTACGGGACGAGTATGGCCGTCCGAATTCATGCGCAGCAAGTGCGACTGCCTTCAAAGAAGCCACGTCTACATCTTCCCATGGCGTTCTGCATGGATCGTTCCTGCTTCACACGTACCACATCGCAGGAGGCCCGCCCCACTCACTGCTTCCACCCCATTCCCACAACAGGGATGCCGGCTGAGGCTGCCCGCCCGCCCTCCCTCCCTCCCGCAGGACAGGCGCCCGCCAAGCTCGCTCCTGCCTCCCGGGCTGCTTTCCCTCGCCATCCAGCTCGGCGCGCGCCTCCGGCTTCAGCCCTTCTCCGCTCATCCCGCCCTTTGTTTCCACAGACGCCGCTCTGCCCTGGCCGGCCCTTTTCCGCACCTACCCCCGGCGGCTGCCTCCTGCCCAGGGGTTTCACCCGGGCATAGATCTGAATGGTTTGCTTCACCATCTCGGTAAATCAAGCTTTCCGCTGCCGAAGAAGCAGCGAGGGGGCGCGGGCCCTTCGTAGCAACAGTAACCATGCAACGCTACCCAGCGGGCCTTGCGCCACAACGCCGGGTTGGGCGGAGCCTCTGCGGGAGGCCGGGCGGGCTGCTGTGTGTCCCGGCCGCGCGCTTTCTTTCGGTGTGGCCGTGTCCGCCGCGGGTTCCCCTTTATTTTGTGAGATGCGACCGTTGATTCACTTAGCTAGAAGTAAAGCCTACTGAACTCAGCGAGGGTTACTTCTGAGGAGCCACGCGTAGAACTGCGCTGTTCTTAGTTGGCGTCCTGATGGAATTCGGCTCCTTCTACCTTCCTTCCTCTCCTGTCCGTGGAAAGCTGGACTTGAGTTGTTCCCTGCTGGCTACTTCCCCAGCATTTGATGGGGAACCCAGCACGCTGCAGTAACGTTGGAACACAATTCCTATTAGCCCCAGCCAGCAGTCAGAGAATGTAGTCAATACATTGGGAGAACACCAGGTTAAGGAAAGTTGGTTAAAAGTAAGCAAAGTGGCCCTGTTGCTCCTTTTTCATATTAAACTACAGCCTTCCTGAATATTGGGCATGAAGCATGTGTGTTTCAAAAAAGGAAGTCTCAGTGCATACTTTGTTTTTAAAGTTACGCTGTTGTCTTATTTATTTATTTAAAAATTTTCTATACCATCCCATTACAGATGTCTCTGGATGGTGCACAACTCCATTAATAAAATAAAAAAAAGAATAGGTGGGAAAAAAGGACTACAAGTGGATCTTTCCTCACCCAAAAATTCCCCAGCCGATCCTGAACTGTTGTTGAAACTCCCAGTGCACTGATACAACAGCATTGCTTGCCCCCAGGATAATTAAAGTTGAGGAGTAGAGAAGTAGATAATAGAGAACACAGTTCTAGATGTGATGCCTGAATGAATTACACAGATTGTAAGGAGTTCCAAAGGGATCCCTCCAAGCTGGGAGAATGGGCATCAAAATGGCAAATGCAGTTCAGTATAAGCAAGTGCAGAGTAATGCAAGTTGGAGCAAAAAACCCCCAACTTCAGATGGGATCTGAATTAGCAGTGACTGAGCGAGAAGGGGATCTTGGGGCAGTGGTTGGCAGCTCAGTGCAAATGTCAGCCCAATGCTTAGCTGCTGTGAAGAAAGCAAACTCTTTTCTAGGTATAATTGGGACTAGAATAGAAAACAACTGCTAAAATCTTACTTCCCTTATACAGATCTTTGCTGCAACTGCACTTGGATACCAGCAAATAGTTCAAGCTTCCCTGAAAAAGGACATAATTGAGTTGGAAAAGGTACAAAGAAGGGCAACAAAAATGATCAGGGGACTGGAGCAGCTCCCCTATGAGGAGCAGCTGCAACAACTGGGGCTATTCAGTTTAGAAAAAAGGCAACTAACGGAAGACATGATAGCAGTTTTTAAAATAATGCATGGTGTGAAGAAAGTGGAGAGGGAGAAACTTGGAAGGTGAGGGGAGCATGGCAGCAATCTCAGCCTCCATGCTTCTGCCACCTTCCATTGGATGCCTGGAATCCTCTACATTCAAATGGTTATGGACAGCTACATTGGATGGTGCCCTAACAGATTTATGTGCTTCTAAATTCTCAACCATTTTAAAAAGATAGCTACCTAAGCTCGTAGCTGTCATAACTTATCACAGTAAATTCCATAATAAATACATTAGCTGAAGAAGTACTTTCTTCATTTGCTAGTCAGTCTGATGAATGACCCTAAGTTCCACTAATTTGTTAGAAAATATTTCTTTTCCTTTTCTGTTTGAATGCCCTTCTTTAAAATGAAAGTTCAGCTTTTTTCTAATGAAGATACTCCAACCACTTACCATTTTAGTGACCATTTTGTGCATTTTTTCCAGTTTTGCAATATTTCTTTTCAAGATAGGGGACCAGAATTGCACATAATAATCTGTATGTGGTCACATCATAGATTTATATGACTTTATATAATACTCCTGTTAACATCCACAAGTCTCCACGTGGCTTATATTATACAGTAATTCCTTCTGCTGTGGATATAAAACTATTTAATGAAGATTGCCTTGAAGGCTTATTGTCTTTGAGTCCAATTCCCAGTCCTACTCAACTTGCCTTTTCCTGGGCTTGTTGCCATGTTTCCCTTTTTCTATCCTTTTGATTGCATATGGAGTCAAAACTCTTGAAACATCAACAGTTCATAAATGAAGCAAAAAAGCAGTTGGTTCCCTAGTTATTAATGGTCAGCAAGTGCTAGCAAGCAGCAAAGGAATAAACATATCTGAGCCAGAAAAAATCCCAGGAAAATAATTTAGAAGTTCATCAAACAATTCTTCCTACACAAAAGAATGATGATTTCCCAAAGATGTGTTTATATTCTGGCATGGCAACTTCTTATATAGCAGGTTTTAAATTTAGTAACATATATTTAATTATCTGAAAGAGCTATGGCAAAGATAATACAATCAAGTTTTGAGCATGCCTATGAAGTAAAGAAACCAGATGAAACCCTTAATTCCTTTCAGTAGATGCTAAATTTGTTTCTCCCACAAATCCATCACACTTTTTGTCAGCAATATGAAGTAAGAAGTCTCATATAACAAGCCCCTTGAAAATAAGGAGAAATCAAGACAGCCTTCTTTATGTATTTGGCATTCAAACCTGCTTGTGCAATATGTAAAATAAAATTGCAGGGATCACCATCTTGCCTTGGTGAACAGCTTTTGAATTTTGAAAGAATGTGATAGGCATGCTCATAACAATTTCATGGTGAAATGGTCAGTCACAAAATGTTCATTTCTCAAAAAGCAAATGGGTGATGAACATAGCTGGTCAGAAAGCACTCATTTTCCACAAGATGAACTAGTGAGAATAAAAGAAAAATCATTTGCCCAAGAACCTAAATTCAAGGCAGAGGTACAGTCTGAGCTCCAAAACACTTTGAACTTAAATAAGGATAGTGCTTGAGGGCCTCCCAAATAAAACATACATGCAACATATTAATATAGAAAATAAAACTTAGGAGGTGCAGGAATCCTGGCAGGAGCCAAGACATATGTCCTTGGAGATAAATGCATTGAGGAGCCAGCTGTACTATTTGTTTCTGTTCATGGGGGCTTTTCAAAAACTTTTCCCCTCTCATGTTTTTTTTAAATTTTTAGGCAGTGCAATAACATGAATTGACTATGTAGAAATGGAAAAGTGATTAACATCCTCTCCCCACTTCTGGTGAACAGGAGCAGAAGTTAATTGGCAATTAAGAGAGAATATTCAAGGAACAATGAAGAATACAATTCTATGTATGTTTCAGCAGGAAAGAAGCCCTACAATTCCCAGTGTTCCCTCAGCCAGCCATGGCAGTTGGAAAATGCCAAGGAAGGACGGGACATAGGACAAGAAGGTCATGCATGCCACAGCATCCTCCCACCCATGTTCCCCAGCAACTGTTGAATATACCCATGGTTCTTTTGATACTTGGAGGTAACAGATAATCATCAGGACTAGTGGCCACTGATAGCCTTCTCCACGAAATTGCCCAATCCCCTTTTTAAAGACATCCTTATTGGTAGACATCACTAATCTCATGCAAGTAAACTTCAAAGTTTAACAGTGCACTGTGTGAAGAAGTACTTATTTATCTTCCATGAACCTCCAGCCAATCAGCTTCATGGGATGACCTCAAGTTTTTATATTAAGAGTTTTATGAGTAGAAATGTATTCCATTCCACTTTGCCCATATCATACATAGTTCTGCATACTATTATCGTATCATAACCTTTCTTCTTAAGGGGAGTTTCTCTAATCCTTGATCATTTTACTTGTTCTTTTCTGTGCTTTTTCTAATTCTACCATTTTCTTGTTTAGTTGCACTGACTACAAGTGTACTTGTAAAGTGTTATAAGTGTGATTGCACCATAGATTTGTATGAAGACAGAATGATATTGGCAGTTTTATTTTCACTTATTTTTCCCAGTTATGCTTAGCATGGAGTTCACCATTTCACAGCAGCCACACACTATCACTGAACTGTTCACCATATCTCCTAGATCTCTTGCTTGTTTGGCCATTGCCTCACAACACCCTTTTGTTTTGACTACCCTAAATAATTTAACCTCCCTAAGTAATTTGGCTACTTGACTGCTTATTCTTAATTCCTGATAATTTATGAATAAGTTGAAAGCCATTGGTCCCAATACAGATCCCTGTGATACTGTGCATATCTCTCTATTGGGAGAACTTAGGATTTATCCCTACCCTCTGTTTTCTGCTCTTATTCTGGTTACTGATCCATAAGAGCACCTCTTATTTCATGTCAGTGAAAGTTTTTAAGGTTCTTTGGTAAAAGACTTTGTCAAAAGCCATGGAGAAGTCCAAGTGAATTATGTCTTTTGGATCAGCCTTGTTTCCAGGTTTATTGACATTCTTCAGGAACTCTAAACTTTTTAAAGTTTGTGAGACTGAACTTATCTTTGCAGAAGCCATGTTGAATCTTTTGCTACAGGGCTTGTCCTTCTGTACGCTTATCAATTTTATCCTAAATCATGTTCAATCCTTGGGTCACTTGAGTATAAATACTGCACTAAACCTCAGAATATTGTATATTCAGATTCTATGCCCTTTCTGAATGAGCTGATAATGAGCCTGAATTGTATAGTGCAGGAATGGGCAGAAGGTGTATTTTCAGATGTTTTGAACTTCAACTCTCAGAGCTTCTGGCACATTGCCCAATGGTCAGGAATACTTGGAGCTGAAGTCCAAAACATCTGTCTACCTCTGGTCTATGGACATCAATGCTCATGTTGTGGATGAAGGGAATTATTATTCATATTTAATTATTGTTACATACTTTGCAGCATCACATATGTATTCCTAAATACATATTGTTCTTATCTGCATTCAAGTCATCTCTGACTTATGGTAGCCCTATGAATGAGTGCCCTCCAGAATGTCCTGTCCTTGACAGCCCTGCTCAGCGCTTGTAAA